GCCGGGGGCGGCTGGGGGCTCCGGGCAGCCGCGGAAATGCTCGTCCCGCCGGAACGCTTGGGGGAACCTGTCCTACGCCGACCTCATCACCCGCGCCATCGAGAGCTCCCCGGACAAGCGGCTGACCCTGTCTCAGATCTACGAGTGGATGGTGCGCTGCGTGCCCTACTTCAAGGATAAGGGCGACAGCAACAGCTCGGCGGGCTGGAAGGTGCGTACGCAGTCCGGGCGGGCGGCGGGGCTCGCGGGCCTCCTGCGCAGCGGGAAAGCGCCACGGGCTCCTCGGAGCGCGCCTCCGGGCGCCGGGGAGGCGGGCCGGGAGCGGGAGCTTCCTCTGCGAGGCTTCGGGTGTTCTTTCTGCGTGACTTCTGGAGGAGGCAAACCTGAGGGCAGCCTGGGAGGGCGGGAGGGTGGGAAGGGGGCACCCGGGGAAGCTCTGGGAATGGCCAGGTGAGGAGAAGGGGCCAGGGACGCGGGCGAGGGAAGGCCACGCCGGAGTGGCTTTGCTGGATTCCCAGACAGCGCAGAGGAGGTAGGTTCGCGCCAACTTTGGAGTGGAGTTCGCCTAGTGTGTGTGGGGGGCTGATGCGACACTGCGGGCGGCGTGTGTGTGTGGCGGGATGTTTGGGGTCCGTCGCCGGAGGAGTGCTTGGGTATGTGGTCACAGGAGCAGGGCGCTCTCTCCATGGCTGCTTGAGAATCTTTGGGTTTAAGTTTCAGGCTTGTGGGTGCAAATTCCATAGGCACTTCAATCCCATTAGAAAAAGCCAGCCCTTTATTGAGGGGGGTGGGGGTTTTAATGTACTTTTAAAGGAAAACTTTGCGGAGAGGGGGCGCGTTCTTTCTCTGCTGGTGTTGACATCCCGACTCCTCAAGGGTGTCATCCAAGCAAGCCTGCCACACAGTAGCCGCCTAAGCGTTCTTGGAGGCTTGGAAAGAGCCAGCTGTGCCACTTAAGTAAGCGCAGATTGGCCACACCACGCCTGCTGGGGCCTGGCGGTAGGCGTGGGTGGTGGTGGTGGTGGTGTGTGTGTGTGTCCAGGTGTGGAGGACTGGGGCCTGCGCTTCACCTGGGCGGGAGCGAGGCAGCCTTAATGTCAGAGTCAGGCGGTAATGGCTTCTACCGAGTGAACCTGAAGAGTGAGACTACGGTTCCTTTTCAGACTCTTGGGGCGCAGGACACGTGGTAGGGAGAGAGGTGTGGAAAGACCTATGATGTAATGACTTCCTGCAGTTGGGCATCCGAAGAAATTAACTCCTCTGCCCCTGCTGAGCTGTAGATATCCAGTTGCTTTGCTCTACCTGGGCACCCCACCCTCCCTGACTCCATCCCACAAGAAATGAATGTGTCTCCACTAGGCAAAAGAGAGCCTTGCATAATTACAGATACGCATTGACTATCAGCCTATTTGGATGTAGCTCTTCTTTTCGATTAAAAAAATACATTAGAGAGGTAGTCGCTTCCTTCTTCTGCTTCTTTATTATCTTTGAGGACGCCTATGCCTTCCTGGGTCCTACTAAGTGTGTAAAGGAAGACCAGTTTAGCTTTGGTAGAGAAGTGTGTGAAATGCTAGAAAGAAGATTGGATAAAAAATACTAAAGAACTTGGAGCACTGAGGGTTTTAATGTACTTTTAAAGGAAAACTTTGCAAACACAGTCTTTACTGTTTTTTTTTTGTTTTGTTTTTTTTAATCATTTTATTAGGGGCTCATACAAATCTTATCACAATCCATACATACATCAATTGTGTAAAGCACATCTGTACACTCATTGCCCTCATCATTCTCAAAACATTTCCTCTCCACTTAAGCCCCTGGCATTAGGTCCTCATTTTTCCCCTCCCTTCCCGCTCCCCCCTCCCTCATGAGCCCTTGATAATTTATAAATTATTATTTTGTCATATCTTGCCCTGTCCGACGTCTCCCTTCACCCACTTTTCTGTTGCCCGTCCCCCAGGGAGGAGGTCACATATAGTTCCTTGTAATAGGTTCCCTCTTTCCAACCCACTCTCCCTCTACCCTCCCAGTATCGCCACTCACACCACTGGTCCTGAAGGGATCATCCGCCCTGTATACCCTGTGTTTCCAGTTCCTATCTGTAATTGTATTTTTTGTTTTTTTCCAACAGCTAGTTTTGGTGAGACTGGTTGTGTTTAGATCGCTTTTAAAAGCTAAATGTATTTTCTACATTATTGCACAAATCTTTCTTTTAGCACAGATACTGATCTAAAATGATTCTTAAATTTGATCTAATTTTTCTGTTTTACAAAGGAATTTGCAGAAAGGATGAGAGTTTTTTCCATTTCAAAGCAGTGCTAATTTGATAGCTTATCATTCTGGGTTTCCAAATGGGTGGTGAGGTTAACACGTCCATGTACAGTGTGAGGATAGGATCAGTTTCTTTGACCCTACAGCTTGGATTTAGAAGCTTGGCATATTTTTCAAATTTCTCAGCTTTGAAATTTAGTCCCGCATGATTTTGAATTGAGTGCAAAGAATCTGTTTAAAAGTTTAGCTGACTTTTAACTTATGTAGTTAAAAAGTAAGCATATAAAGGGTTGGCACCTTTTCTATGTTTATGATTACAAAAGTAATTTTAATTTAATAAATGGCATTTCTTGCCATTGTGTTTAAGGTAATAGTTTAACAGCAGATTTTTAAAAAGACAATTTATGTAATAAGGTGGTATTACTAAGAGTAGCCATTAATTTTAAGACTTGGCTAGTTGTATTTCCACATTGCTTACCGGATTTGCAAGAGATTTGGGGCTAATCATAAACTACGAGTGGTTTTATGTCATAACCATTTTCTTAATCTCACAGTTTCATTTTCCCTTCCCTGCTTTTGTATCTCTCTCTCTCTCAAACTTTATGAAACATTGTAAATCAAAATTCTCGGGACTCAATATCCTTAATACAGGACACACCTATTTGGTTATTGTTATTTTGACCCTTTGATAGCCCATAGGACATACGAGGGGTCTTCAAAAGTTTGTGGAAAAATTTAATTACATTTCAATTTCATTTTTCCACCAACTTTTTGAAGCCACCCTCAGATAGTACCCACCCTACATTTTTTTGTTTCTGGGGTCTAGTGGGATAGTGAGAAGCCATGACCCCATTTGTAGTGTGTGCTGCCATCTGGTGGGGACCTGTGTATTGGTCTGAATCTGAAGAAACAGGACTCATCTCAACAGTACTAGAGACCCCTCGGGACACATGTGTCCCACTAATCACACCAAATCCATATTACCACAGAAAAGGTTAATCTTATTCAAAATGCTTACCATTACTGAAAATATTTGCTTTTCACAAAAACTAAATGCAGACAATAAGTCGGTGTTGAAAGGGTTAAATTTTTACCTCAGTTCCTTTTCTTAGTATCATATGGCAACTAATCCTTGAAGACTGTAGGGATATAATTTAGTTCAAGAGTTTTTGTAAGATGACCTTCCTCAAAAGATGCAGCCACGCAGGAACTTCCAAATCTTCGATGATGGAGAAGGCCCTTTGAAACTGGGACTGGTTTCAAATTCTCATTTTGACTAATAGCCAACCTTTTTGTGTTTGTGGCTTTGTGGGGGTGGAAGAAGAGGGAAAGAGAGAGGTCGATCGATGGCTAATTGTGACCCATTTCCACCCGTCCAAGTTTCATGACTTGATTCCTACTGTGATTAGTCATTTTGGAAGCATGCGTGTGCATTGAAACCACACCACTTTCGTACTGGGTTGTGCATTGGGGATTTAACTTCTGAAAATGTCTAGAATTCAGATAAACCTCCGTCCTGTGTGCACGTAGAGCACAGTACTAGATCTTCTTTTGTTAGAAGAATCATGTTATGCGATCCTGTAACCAGAATGATCACCCAAGGGTCAGAGAGTGGAAACTGGAAAGGGGGCTTGGGGCTCAAGACCAGTGGTTTTCAAGCCTAGCCACTTACTGGAATCACCCGAGGACCTTAAAAACAAACAAACAAACAAACCCAACCCAGAACCCAAGATTATGACTTTAATTAGACTAGTGTGATTCAGAATTGGTATTTTGTTAGTTTGTTTCTTAGATGATTCCATCGTTTGGCCAAAATGAGGTGTGCTGACCTGTCCAAACTCTTTGCTTTGCCCGGGAAGAAGCTGATTCTTGGAGAGTGGACTGGCTTCCCTAGCACACAAGTCATTAGAACTCCCAGGTCTAGGGGTCTTTGTCTTTGATTACATTGTTTCCCTCTGTAAATCGCTCATCCGGAGGCATCATTTACTGAGTAATGAGTCATTCTATGTGAGTTCCTGAAAAGCACATTTGCTTCTCAATCTAAGAATGTGTTATTATTTCAGCATTGGAAGTGCAAACGACTAAAGTTCACGGGGAAATGGGGGTACAAGGTAACAGAATTTTTCCAACGGACTCTTGAAGCCCCTCCACATTGCCATTGCTGGCGGCCGGGGAGCTCATGTTTGCGTAGCTGCCAGGGCCGGGGAGCTCATGTTTGCGTAGCTGCCAGTGCCGGCCAGTGTAGGTTCCTAGCAGGAGGAGGAAACCTTTTGTTTGTCAGACACGTAGGAAGAGCTGGCGACTCAGTTGTTAAGGCTCTCCTCGTGGAGAAGGATGAGGCCATCGACTTTTGTGAAGGTTTACAGCCTTGCACCCATGGACAGTTCTGCTTTGGCCCTCAGGGTCACCATGAAGCGCCGGTCAGGCGTGATGGCTGTCACACAGGCTCCCTTACCTCCAGCGTTAAGGAGCAGTGCACAATCAAATGTGGTTCATCAGGAGAAGAGGTTACATTTCCTTTCATTCAGATTCAGCTTCCTTGCCCTGCACCTGTAAGCCTACTGGTTCTTGTTGTCTATCAGAGACCGCTGGGCCTCCAGAGCCTACCCGGATGAAAGCTGCTTGCCCCTGACCCCCCACCCCTGCCCACACCGACTGGTCCGGGCACTTTCACGTCAGGCAGATTTCTCTGGTGATTCCCACCGTTTGGCAGGTGCAGTATGCCTTTTGGGGGAGGCCTAACGCCCCTGCCACCGCAGAGCAAGATTCTTTGAAGACCCAGAGCCTTCCTCCAGGTGGGCACATGTACCCTTGTGGCTTCTCCTCCAGGTGGAGAGAGAGAGGAGGGCTGCTCAGACGTAGGACGCTTATTTAGGTCCTCATTTAGGTCGCCAGTCTCTGGATTCATGCATCCAATTCCTTTCGGAAGGTCCTGTGAAACAT